CAATTGGGATTCCCTTGAGGATGCTAGAACTGCCATTTTTACATGGTTTAAGTTAAAGAAGACAGATTCTTTGGGGAAGCCTTCAAGAGACGGAAACACCACCATCAGAAGTAGACAGACCTACTGGGAAGATATGTCTAAAAAAATGATAACCTCACATTTGGATATTTCAGTCTAGTAAAGGTTTCCAGGACTTCACAGTGATACCTTTGACTTCTATAATGTCTTAGTGGAGTCAAGTATGTTTGTGCCCGGATAGTGCAAATGGTAAGCACTTCTCCATGAACTGAAATGCTGCCAGCCTGGACCCACCTAGACACGGTGACGTCAGTAAGGCTGGTGTCACCAGTATAGTCAGTCATGGGGTCACCTCTCCATCCCCCCATCCCCGCCCCCATGGACTTAACTTCCTTTTATACAGGCCATACAGAATCCTTAGTTATGCTTATGATCAGTTTTGATCATAAAATAATATGTGATAAATGTTTGCGGATTTCTTAAATATACTATTTCTTAGATTATAGGAATTCTAGCATCACTGTTTTACAAAACCCTTCTCCCCTGATTTACATCGTTGCAACATTATTAGCAGCTAAGCAGAAGCTTTTTTATAATTATTCTCCTTTTCCTTTCATTTAATTAAACTAAATTTTATTTCCTTTAATCCTCAAAAGAATTGTTGATATAGATTCCCAAATACTAATTCCCACCATATTATAGCTAAAACAATGGAAATTTTAACAAAATCAGCAACTAGCAAAATACTGACAACTCTAAGTAGAGTGTGAGAAGGTTAAGTAAGTAAATTAGCACAGAGCTGTAGCCTCATAGGTATATTGACACATGTAGGTTCCAAAACAAAAAACTCACTGCCTGAGCAGATGCCTGTGCAATGGTGCCTGTGTGGGTGTCCAAGGCGCCAAGTGTTTCTAGGAGCAAAAAGGCCTTGTCTCTCTCCAATGGAGCCGCTGGTAGTTTCAAACTACCCTGTGGCATAAGGGCTATGCATTAGGCTGCTACCCACAATTCAAAACCCCAAGAGAAAGATGAGGCTTTCTACTCCCATAGTTACCGTCTCAGAAACCCTCAGGCATAGTTCTCCCTTGTCTTATGGAGTCACTGCGACTAGGAATCCACTCACATCATGGTAGC